TATCCCCCACCGGAGTGTTACATTTGTTTATTTTGACCCGTATTGACACATGATTAGCACCCAAAGCCCAAAGTTTATAACAGGGTTCATTTGGGGTGCCGGTTCTGTGGGCTTGGACAGACGCACAGTGCCCTGCAGCTGCTGTTGCAGTAACGCACAGAGTAGTCGCGCGCCTTAGAAACCCTCAGTGCCCCGCCTGATCATCCCGCCATCGCGCCTCTCCCCTGAGGACCACTGATCTTTTTACTGTCTCCTTGGTTTTGCCTTTTCCACAATGTCATATGGTCAGAAGACACAGAATGCAGCCTTTTCAGATGGGCCTGTTCCACTTACTAATATGCGTGTAAGGTCTTCCAAGTCTTTCATGTCATAATAGCTCCTTTCTTTTTAGCGCTGTCTGTTCCACTGTCTGGATGGACTCCCGTCCTTTTCAGTCGTGTGTGTGTGTTTCCATTGATTGCAGAATGGCTGAGCCTCAGAGTTCTGAATGAGGGACGATGCTGACGCTAAGCCGGTCACTTTCATCGCGGCCGGGGCGAGCCCAGGACTCCACACAAACAGGATGTGTGCGGGTTTGTTCAGTACAAGTGACAGAGATCCCACTCAAACCAGCTTCATCGCAAAAATGACCGTGTTGACTCTTGTGACTGGGAATTTCAAGGGGGGTAAGTTTGGATTTTCAGGCATGGCTTCATGCAGGGCTGGAAAAGATGCCATCGGGGGCCTGGCCCTCTCTGCCTCGCACCTCGGCTTTCTTCTGGGTTGGCGTCATTCTGAAGCAGACACCCCCAGGGGGCTGCCACACCATGGCTCCCTGAGCTCCATGCTTACTCTATTAACAATAGGGCAAATGAGGCATCTTTTTGCCAGCAAAACTCTCAAGGAAGAATTTCCCTGACCCAGCACTGAGTGAATCCCAGTGGCTTACTGGTATCCACTCCTGCAATTAGGGACCCGGTATCCCCCCACTACCATTACCTGAGCAACATGAGAGTGGGGGAGGGGATGTATCGAAGGGACTATTGGGGTTCTTATTAAAGTGTGGAAATGGATCTATGCACGTGAAATTAATAGATAGTTCCTATACCAGACGAGAGGAAAACAGTTCTAAAAAGCAGAGCTCGGTGTCCACACATTTCACAGAAGCCAGGAAAATAGTGGTCTTAAACAGTGGTTTTAAAGCAGTCAACTGAAAACTTCATTATATTCTTCTATAGTTGAAAATTAAATGTCTGGTGGGGTCTGATCTCTCCTTTTCTGGGTTTACACGTTCTTCGGGTACTGGAGAAGTAAAGAGGAACTGTTGGGCTCACAGCTTCATTTCTATCCTTTCTGTGGAGACTAGAAAGTGAAACACGTTTCCCAGAATCCCTTGCAGCTAGGGTAACAGATACAGATTAATCTCATTAACTAGATGCTCTCAGATAAGATTTGCAAAGCAGAAGCAGGGATGACTCCATCTTTCTGTGGCTTGGTTGCTTTTTGTTGTAGGGCCCACTGTGGAGATACTGGACTTTTCCCCCACGTCTGTCTCTAACTTTGTGGGTTTTGAGGGATGGTACAGTGGAAGAGGGAACAGCTCCCTGGATGGGCCAGTTCTGTAGCTCTGGGAGTCATTTCTGCCTTTCTACAAACACGCATGCCTGTAAGCGATACACAGCCTTTTCAATCACTTGAATGTTTTCACATTCTTTTTTGACTCCCACAATCCAGGTTTTTCCATCTATCAAGTAATCCTCTGGCTCCTGGAGCTTCCCTATCAGAGCGTTTTCTCACACTGTATTGAAATTGCTCATTCCTTTGTCTCCCATGCTACATGTAATGGTGAAGACTGTGTCTGTCCTGTTTGCCAGTGTAGACCCAGGACCTAGAAGAGTGCCTGTGATATCCCGGGCCCAGACATTCAACACTGAATTTCTCTTCTGTTACCCTAAGGGCTTCCAGAAACTGGATTGTCTTCGGAAGTTCTCAGGTCAAAGATGAGCTCTAAAGATCAAAGGAAGTGACAGAAATGCCAGAGGCTGAGGCAAAATCGGGACTTGGCAAAATACTTTTTTTGCCTCTCCAAGTTTCTCATATTCCCCATCCCCATCCTCATCTCTTTTAGCTCAACAACAACAAAAACCCACAAAAACAAACAAAAAAACCCAAAACAAAAAAACCCACCACCACCACCACCACCACCACCACCAACAACAACAACAACAACAACAAAACAAAAGAGGGAGAGAGAGCGGTTCACAGGAGACCATCTCATTGGGAACCTCCTGGCTGTTTTCTATGTTCTTCATCCTTCTCAGACTTAGGCCCCGTCCCTTATAGGATCTGTGACCTGGGAGGAATTTTTAAGCTAAGCCTTTGTTTTCTCATTTACAAGATGGAAGTGTGGGGCCTTTGAGATGACCACAGATCCTTTCACGCTATTGCCATTACAGGGTGGGATCTGTGGCCCTGAGCCTTGACAGTTAATCTTGGTGGGTCTGTGATTGCTTGACCAACGGAATATAGCAGAAGGGATGCTGTGCGCATTTCCATACACAGGCCTTAAGAGGTTAGCAGAGGTTCTGCTTCCTGTCCTAGAATATCCTCTCTAGGGGAAACTGCCTGCCATGCTGTGGGGGAGCCTGACCTAACCACAGAGGAGTCAGATACTGAGAGAGACTGGCTAGTCGCAGCTGTCCCAGCCATTCCAGCTGAAAGGCAGACGTGTGGACGAAGAAGAAGCCATCTTGGATGTCCAGCCCACATGAGCCTCCGAGGTCTCTGGTGGTTCACTAAGAACAACCTCCTCTTCCCTTCCTCCCCCTCCTCCCTCCTCCTCCTTCTCCTCCCCCCTCCTCCCCTTACTCCTGCTCCTCCCCTTCTTCCTCCCCTCCCTCTCCTCTCCCTCCCCCCTCCTCCTTCTTCTTCTTTTTAATTCTATGCATTTCCAAGAAGGGGTAACTCTCAGTGTGATCACTGGAAGCCGGTGGGTGGAGGTGGGCCATTTGCTAGGTGTTTTGAATTTGAAGAGCTCCCTTTTCTTTTTCCAACTTTCTCTTGTGTCTTTCTTTTCTGTGTTTTTTAAAGCACAGCCAGATAATTTAGACCTAAAATAGGAATGCCAAATTCAGCCTGTGTGTGTGATTTTTCAGACAGAAAAATCATAGGCTTGGTACGGACTCATGGTCATGAAAATCAAGCTCCAGAAGCAAAAATGATTCCAAGCAAAATTGCCCTGACAACTGTTGTCATGTCTGTGTATGAGTGTGTGTGTGTGTGTGTGTGTGTGTGTGTGTACAAAGCAGTTAAAAACTTTAGACTACAAAACTATTTTACTATGTAAGCATCATGGAATTACAGGCTTTTTGGGGGGGGGTTAAAAGAACATGATTACCTGTAATTATAGTCTTGCTAAGTTTGATTTTATAGAAGAACAAAATTCTGGTTTGATTGTACCCAATAGAAAGACATGGTGCCTATTGGAAATGCTCTTTTTTCCCTTCTGACTCAAGTGGCTAAATTTATTTCATATATGTGATCTTCCTAGAAGTCAACCTTTTATTATGTTTATTGCCAAGGTTGTTTGTGTGCCTTGCTAATTATGCTGCTTGCTACCAAGTCTCAAACAAAGTTTGAGATAACCCTACTATCTCCCCTTTGAGTTTCTACAGACACCTAAATTGATAGGCAAGAGGGTTCATCTCAGAGTCTGAACTGGGTCAGCCTCATCAATTTTGTCGGTTACTTGGTCAGTTAAGTTCGCAGCCTCAGGGGGAGTCAAACTAGATGCCTGACAGGCATGGATAAGGGAATCGGTTTATTTCACCTTTTTATATTGCAGCCCTTAATGTGGGTGCGGACGCAAAGCCACAGTATTGATTGCCATTCCCCGCCCCAGGATAAAAGCCTTCGGAACACGTGGGGGCCCCAAGTTAGAAGGGTGGGGTTGGGATGGGGGTGTGGGGAGTTGGTTAGCCAGCGTCCCCTGACGCACGCTGCAGTCAGTTCCAGCTACAGAACGTTGCTTGGATAGGGTTTGCCGCAGAAGCCTTTCCCTAAGGAGACCCTAAGGGGCAGGATTTGGGGGTTTTGTGAGTGCGAGCCCACAGCATCAAGTCGCTTCACTAAGTCTTGCCATTTCTTGGAACCAGAAGCTGAGTGCTGCGGACCCTTTCCGGTTTCTGACTCCCAGGCCAGTGGCATCCAGAGACAGCTGGAGTAACTGTTTTCTTTCCATTTCACAGCTCACAGAGGAGGTGTGACTGTGTGTGAGGCGCTAGAAAGCTTGTTCTATAATTACCTACTGATTTGCCTCCGAGTGCGCAGTACACCCCCCCGACCTTCTGTGTGTTCATGCGAGCTAGTCGGAGGTTGATCTGCCGCCCTGCGCGCCGGAGGCAGAGGACGTGCCTCTAGATCACGGGTGACACTATTTTGCCCCAAAGTTAATTGTCACAGCTCAGGGGAGTGGATATGGGGTCTGTGTAACTGATTGCCTTCATAGCCAAATCTATGATCGGGGGCACTCAGGTCACTGCAGTTACGTCCCAAACGAAGGAGATGGGCGTATGCCGGGCGGCAGGTCGCGCGCTCCCGACCCCGAGGCCACACACCCTCCAGGCCCCGGCCGCCGCCGCCTGTCCCACGCCCGCCGTAAGGCCGAGCCCCGCTTCCGGGAACCCGAGGCGCCCCCAACCCCACGGCCACAGCCTAGGCCGCGTGCCCGCTCAGCGGGCGGCACCCGCGCCTGCCATTGGCTGCGCTTTCGGCTCGCGCCCACAGGCTGCCCTTCTCCGGCGGGCAGCCCCACTTTCCCGGAGCCTCACGGGGCCCCGCACGGCCTCCGGGTGCCCCCAGGGGCGCGGCGCGCGCCGAGCGGCGCCGGGGGCGGAGCCTCTCGCGGGGCGCCTCGGGATTGGCCGCGGGGGGCAGGGGGCGGGGCCAGCCCCGGAGAAAACAGCGCGCGCGCAGCCCGACTGCAGCCCCAGTCCCGAGCCAGAGCCCAAACCCGTGTTAGTCCAGGTTGCCGCGCAGCCGCGCTCCCGAGCCTTTTTTTACCGCGGACCCCTCTGGCTGGGTTCTCCCGCCCGCTCCCGCGCAGCCCAACAGTGGTCCCGCCCCGCAGGTAGCGTCCCGCGTGGTGCAGCCCCGGCCGGAGCGGCGATGCGCCTCATTCAGAACATGTGCACCATCGCCGAGTACCCCGCCCCGGGCAGCGCCGCCGCTGCCGCCGACTGCTGCCTGGGGGCGGCCGGCCGCCGCCTGGTCAAGATCGCCGTGGTGGGGGCCAGCGGCGTGGGCAAGACCGGTGAGTCCTAGCGCTCGGGCCAGAACGCCTTCATCCCTGGGGCTGGACGTGGACGGCCTCGCTGGGGGCTGCGTGTGAGCGAGGCGTGGGGGAGAGGTGGGAGGGCAGCTGGCCTCCCATCCCCTCCTACTGATCTGCTGCCCCTCGGCGAGGACCTGAGCCAGCATCGCCTCCAAGCCCCTTCTTCAACAGATGAGGAAAACGGGGACCCCAGGAGGACCAGGCCTCCTCCTGGGCTCCGCCGGCGCAACTGGGATTAGAACTCTGGGGTTCTTGAGTCTGTCTGGCGGTGCCTGGAACAGGAGGGGGACTTAGGGAACGGAACCCCTCCTGGAGGTCTTTAAGGTTCGGAAAGACCTTTGTCTCCTGGAAGCCTTAGGTATGGCTCAGCCGGGCTCAGAGGAGGGGGGTGAGCCAAATGACCCTTCCAGCTGGACAGAGCCATAATTCACGAGGCCTTGGACGCCTTCTACCCCCTCTCCGTTGTGTCTGGAAGAAGGGTCAAGGAGCTGCAGGGTAGGAATTTCACTTGGCGGCTGCCCGGCTTGCTTTCTCTGCCGGAGTGGTTTCCCAGGCTGGGGGTGGGGTGGACACCGATTTCACTTCTTAATGCCAGAGTTAACTCTCTCTCCTTTCTCTTTTCTGCCCTACAGCTCTGGTGGTCCGGTTCCTCACCAAACGGTTCATTGGTGACTATGAAAGAAATGCAGGTGAGGAGGCGCTTTTGGGACGAGTGTGCTCAGCTAGCACAGTACTGCCCGTAACCATTTTCTGGGGTCAGTCTGAGCATCAGGATCCTGCCACTTCCAACTTTGCCTGCCCCTCCCCTGCTCCCCCGTTCCCATAACTGCCATCTGGCCTCATTCCATTCCTAGCCCATTCATCATTTTATCAAGTGCCTGAAAGTATTCTCCTTGGTATGTTTTAACTATAGGGACCCCAGTTGGAAGCACCCTTTGTACTCAAGAGCCTCTCCCTTCAAAACACTCCTGCAAAAGTCATAAAAAAAAAAAAAAAAAAAAGAAGATGTTCAGCTCCTCCCCCCACCCGTCTTCCTCTCTGTTGGCCGCCTTTCAGAGGTGACCTTTTAAAGCAGAGGCCAAAGGAGAGCTGTTGTAAACCTAAAGTTCTCTTTTCTTAACAAAGACAAAAATAACTAGATGGTAGAATTTGAGGAGGGGAGCTCCCAAATAAACGAGAAGACACTGTTTCAATCTCTGTGATTAAAGGTGGCCACCAGGGAGGCTTAAGGGCTTTTTACCTATGCTCTGTTAGCAAATTGCTTAAATCCTTAGGCCATATTTAGTACCTAAGGGGATTATTTGAAATGTGCTCTATAAACCATCCCGAGATAAGGCATGACAGTCTTTTGCTTTGATGTAGATCTGGCTAAATTGGTGTCACATTTTTATTCCAACTGATGACATTGGCTGTGCATTTACTAGCAATATTTGCCTACCAAATTGTTAATACCTAATGACTAAGCGGATGTCAGAGGGTAATGAAGTAACTAAATTAAAACAAACGGCCATGCATGCTGAACAAGAAAATTTACTTCAAGGAAATACTCTAAATATGGGAGATCCATTTAAAATGAGCTAAGTCAGTTTCCAAAAACTTGCAAACCGTGCCTTGGTTTGAATAAATGCCCTAATCTGGGGTTCGAATTGCAGTTGTTTTAAAAAAAAAAAAAAAAAGGCAGCTGAAATACGCTCATTAAGTAGAATAAACTATAGCTTATTTGTGTGCATTGGTTCAGGTTATGTATTTTTTCCTACTTAAAAAAAATCCCACTATGTTTTCAAAGTTGTACAAGGAGGAAAAACTGTGTGTGAGTGTGTGTGTATATATATATATATACACATATATATATATATACACATATATATATATATATATGTGTATATATATATATATATTCCATATCCCCCCCCCTGCCCTTTATAGGTAACCTCTATACCAGACAAGTGCAAATAGAAGGTGAAACCCTGGCTATTCAAGTTCAGGACACTCCAGGTGTTCAGGTAAGAAGCTCTGAGATTCGTGACTAAGTCAAAGGGACCCTATTTGGCTATGGAATTGTTCAGTTGTTCTCAGAATAACACGTTTTGGTGAAGAGGAGGGAAATGTGAGGGAGGCAAAACTAGGCTTGTACACGTTGCTTGTCACTTGGGTTGTCTTTGGCTATTGGTCAGTCTTTGCCGGGCTTCATTTGGGGGATGTGGCTGAGGACAGAAATCTTAGGAGGATTCTGTCCGGCAGGAGAGACCAAACCAAACACACACGGAATTGGCACGGTTGCCTTGCCTTGGTTAAAAAGATCAGTTTTTACCTTCGTGTATTTGGCCCTGAAAAACCAGCCATTTAGGTAGAGTCTTGAAGTCCGTGGGATCACTTTAGTATTGTGGAAAGTTCCTCTGTAGACAAAAGAGCCCTGCTGGTGTATGTGTGTGTTTTTTTTCCCTCTCGAACTGGGCGGTTATCCAGGTTTAAATGCTTCCAGCTCCTATCTTCACTTCCCCAGACGTACTGTCTAGCCAGTTAATTTCCCATTTTGTGCAACTACAAAGTCTCTCCGCGTGGAGTTCTCTGCGGGTCAATTTTCCAGTAGCGTGTGGGGAGCTGCACTATTATTTATTCCAACCCCATGCAGCTGGATCCACATGCTGTCCAGAAAGCCGAAGCATGTGGGGAGCTGGCTGGTTTACGGCCTGCGACCCGGCATTACTGCCAAGGGCGCCTGGGACCTGGCAGTGGGGCAGAGCCAGGGGCTCTCCACGTGCCCCCACTCCGGCCTGCACCTCAGCCCTCCACCACCACCTCTTGCAGGTCCACGAGAGCGGCCTGAGCTGCGGCGAACAGCTGGACAGATGCATTCGCTGGGCGGATGCCGTGGTGATCGTGTTCTCGGTCACCGACTACAAGAGCTACGAACTCATCAGCCAGCTCCACCAGCACGTCCAGCAGCTGCACCTGGGCAGCCGGCTGCCGGTGGTGGTCGTGGCCAACAAAGCGGACCTGCTGCACGTCAAGCAGGTGGACCCCCAGCTGGGACTGCAGCTGGCAGGCGTGCTGGGCTGCTCCTTCTACGAGGTGTCGGTCAGCGAGAACTACAACGACGTCTACAACGCCTTCCACGTGCTGTGCAAGGAAGTGAGTCACAAACAGCAGCCCAGCAGCACGCCGGAGAAGCGACGCACCTCCCTCATCCCCCGGCCCAAGTCCCCCAACATGCAGGACCTGAAGAGGAGGTTCAAGCAAGCCCTCTCGGCCAAAGTGAGGACAGTCACCTCCGTCTGAAGCGGGGCCGTCCGCGGGGGTTTGGTCTTCCCGGGAAGGGGGCCCGAGGTTCTTCCGGGGCAGGAACGTTGAATGCTGGCAGGAGTTCGTGGTTCCAGAAAGGGCCAGAGCCGAGGGGCCAGGAGGGCCCGTGGAACTGCTGCAGAAAAGCCGCGTTCTGAGCAGGGGACGGAACCGCGGAGGCTTGAGAGCGAGCCCGCTGAGCCGCTTTAAAGCGTGACCCGGACTGGGTGTCTTTTCCTTCCAAGACGGGGAGGGCGGCAGAATCACTTGGGAGTTTGTTCCTGACCTTGTAAATGACAGTCAGTGGTAGTTTCAGCGGCGGACTGGGTGTGTTGGCCGGCGGGAATGAAAGAACAGATTCAGCACTCAAAGGCTGTCCCCTTTCTTCTCTTTCTTTCTTTTTCCTTTTCTCCCCCACCCCACGCACGCCCCAAGAAGAAGAACTCCTTTTTCTCTTACACATCTGATTTGCATCTCCGGAACACCGGTCGTGACAGAATGCCTTTCTAACCTGAAGCATACCCAGCTTTCTTTAAGGAACAAGGAGGAAATTTCTCTCACCCCCTTGCCCCCCAAAAGGGCGGGCTTTATGGGCCAGATGTGATGTAGACAGACGGACATCTGTAAGCTTATAGTGCCCACAGGAAGGCGCGGCGTCCTTCCTGACCCGGATGGTTATGTGTAGTCCAGCACGTGTTAAACGGTTGACATCTCAAACCCTTGAGCCCCAGCCTTTGGGTAACTGTGAGAGAGTATCATTTTTTTTTAACTCTTGCATCAGGTACAAGAAAAAAAGAAAAAGCCGTGTTCATTGACTTTGGTGTGATTTGTGTAAAAGGCTCACAGCGATGACGTTGGGTCGTTTCCTAGGCCTGGCCGAGTCGTGGCTTAAATACGAAAACACGGTCCTACAGCGAGCGAACAGATAGAGGGGCCACCACCAAATCCCCGACAATGCACTTTAAAAAGCCACTCGTGATTTGGCTTAAACTGTAATTAATTTATTTTATGTACAATAAACCTCATTTTAAAAGAGCAGAGGCCTGACTTGGTCTTCACTGAAGTGTTCGCATTCTGTCCTTCACACAAAGTGTCGTTCAGCGTCCGGCACTTCTTGGTCGCTGGGCTTCAGGCGCTGTGCCTTCCTCAGGCTCCCTCGTAAGTCCCAGAGCAGACCGAAGAGGTGCGTTCTCTCGTCCGCCTTTCACAGGTGAGGAGACAGGCTTACCAATGAGCTAACCCACTTGTCAAAGCCCCCCTCTGGCCCCCGCCTGTGAGCGCTGTGAATCCTACTTTGCTGCTTTATATTTAAGAGTAGTGCCTCTCCTGTCCATTCCCTTCAGGATCCTCCAGGTAAAGCCAAGACAGATGTCTGGCTCTCTGTCTTCTGCTGTGAAGACCTCTCTCAGCTGAGCCTTGAAGATAATGCTTCTTTCCAAGATGGCTGCTTCTGTCTATCCATGTGGTTATTGACTTACCTCTTGGGGTAGGCGGCCTTCCAAAGGTGGGCTCTATTCTCACTGGGAGCTGTTGATGGGGGGCCGTCAGGAGCTGCTCCCATGTAGCAAGGTGTGTTCAAAGTGGTCGGGCCTCCCGCATCCTTCCACGCGGCCCACATGAGTCCCCATCATCACGAGCAAAGAATGACACCTTAGAGGAGGGCTTTTGTGCACTTGGATCTCCTTTAGGCCTCGGGATAACCCTGGGAGGAGAGGAGGGAGGATATCCTGCCACTTACAGGGGAGGAGAACAGGCTCTGAGTTCGGAGTGAGGTTTTCAAGTTCACACTAAGGACAGGAATCAAGGTCTTCTGACTGCAGTGTTATTTCTTGATGTTTCGTACACAGGGTACTGCTTACTGCATATGCGGGGATACGGGACCAAGGGCAGCAGTCCGAATGTCTGGCTAGTGAGGGCCGCTGTGGGCCGGTGCTGGACTTCCAACTCTGTTTCCCACAGGGAACATAAGCTGCCTGTTCTTGACAGGGCTTCTGGTGATGTCCCAAACCTTCCTTACAAGGATGGCAGTTTTCTACGCTTATGCCTAAGCTAACCTCTGAGAAGGGTGTGTGTGTGAGAGTGTGTGTGTGTGAGTGTGTGTGTGTGGGGGGCAGGGAGCGAAATGGTATCCACATGAAATTCAAAAAATGTCTCAGTTCAAAGGCACTAACAAGTTTCTCCAACTGCTTCTTGCTTGTTTTTAGTTTTTTTTTTTTTTTAAAGATTTTATTTATTTATTTGACAGACAGAGATTACAAGTAAGCAGAGAGGCAGGCAGAGAGAGAGAGAGCAGGGAAGCAGGCTCCCTACTGAGTAGAGATCCCGATGCGGGGCTCGATCCCAGGACCCTGAGATCATGACCTGAGCCGAAGGCAGAGGCTTTAACCCACTGAGCCACCGGGTGCTCCAGTTTTTCTTTATTTATTTGTTAGAAAGAGAGAGAGAGAGAGAGCACAAGCAGGGGGAGCAGGAGGCAGAGGGAGAAGCAGGCTCCCAGCCTAGCAGAGAGCCCAATGTAGGACTCAATCCCCGGACCCTGAGATCATGACCAGAGCCAAAGGCAGAGGCTTCACTGACTGAGCCACCCAGGCGCCCCTGTTTGTTTTTAGTTTTATTCTTTCTGTGTGGTTGTATAAATGATGTCCAGTGAATAAGAGGTTAAATTTTATGTACTCGACAATGGTCTTCTCCTCATGTTCTGGAATTAAAGAAGATGCAGAGTTTTCCTGGGGGCTTTAGCTCAGAAAGGTGCTGAGCAGGGCTGTACCTCCATTAAGGACTGCCACACTCCAGTCCATCTGTTCTCCAAGCCTGCGGACCTCTGGGCAGGCCTCCCCTCCTCCCACGTGAGCTTCACTTCCTCACTTCCTAGAACGTCATGGCTGCGCCCCACTTTTCCACTCTGCGGCACTCGTTCTCTCATACTTCACTTAAGAAGTTTGGGTGGGTAGGGGGTCTCAGAGTTCTCGTCCATCCAGGGGTATAAAGTGTTATGTGAGTGTGTGTGTGTGTGTGTGTGTGTGTGTGTGTGTGCGTGTGCCAGAGAGAGAGAGAGACCTTGCTGGAAAGCCCCAGGTCCCAGTTCTGTCCAGTGTTTCAGGCTAACTTAAATATTTATAGTTCTGGAATCTACCATATTTTCTTCTCACGAATTTAGCTTCGTGTTTCATTACCTTTGCTCATCTTTTTCATTATTAGTATTTCTTAATCCCTGTGTGTTTATTTTAAAATTTCTGAACTGCAACCATATGGTACAGAGAAACAGCCCTCTCCGGCCTAGGTCGGGGAATGCCTCCTTTGCCACCCGTGGAAGGAATGGAAGGGACAGGAGTATGGTGGAGAAAGGAAAGGAATTAGAATTTACTGAGCATTTATAATGTGCCAGATGATGAAGGATCTCCTTTAATCTTTTGAAGAATCCTATAAGGAAGAGAATACTACCACTCCCATTTTAAAGACAAGAACACTGAGGCTCAGATCACATCCTGTGCTTAGGGCCACACAGGGAGAAACAGGGACTGTTTCTGTGTATTGAAACCTGTGTCTGGCTCTATGGGGTATCTGAAATAATTATGTTTTCCACACCAACCCCACAGTCCATTTTTAGTTCTTCCTACAGACAGGGAGAAGGGAGGCTGCAAAGAATTAGGGAGTTGACCCACCTCTTAAGAGGCAGATTCAGAAACTGCCCCCCCCCAACACACACCCGGGAGTGTCCGAAGCCACAGCCTCGTCCCCAGGCATCCGGCCACAGCTTCCCAGCTCCTCTCCTCCAAGCAAAGCGCCCCTGGGTCCTCTTCTCTTGTCTTGAAGATGCTGGTCCTCCAGGGCCTGCCCTTCCCCCTCACCCTCTTCCCTCCATCCTCCTTGGTGGCAGCCCTGGGTTTGTGGCTCCTCCCTGGCCCCAGGCTCCGGGGCCAGCAGCATCTGCTGTTGCCATCAGCCTCGCTCAAGGGCCTCCAGTCCCAGCTCGGTAATAAAGACGCAGGCGGGGGCGGGGGTTGGGGGGGTGGGGCAGCTCAGCCCGCAGCCCGTCAGCCCCACAACCGGATCCGTGTCTGTCTTGGTGTCTGGCTTTCGAGTTTCCTCCCTGCCGCAAATCAAAACCATTCGGAGTCCTCTGCAGCCTGCCCGGCTGCGCTGTGTGCAGGGGTGGGGGCACCTTCCCGCCAGGCTCTCGCCTGCCCCAGCCTGCTTGGAAGCTGGGCGTGTGCACAGTGTGCCCCTTGTTCTGGAGACACAGGGGATTTCGACATTCGCTTTACACCCCAAGAGGGAGAAAACAAATGTGTTTGGCGAACAAGCTTGTGGGCGAAGCCCTCACAGATGAGCAACCGAGTAACCCCGGGTCCTGCTTGTGCAGGGGTGAGGGGGGATGGGGACGGCGCTGCAGAGTCTCCCCCTGTAAGTCAACACTGGGCCCTCAGGGGATGGGATGGCCCAGAAGGCATTACATGGCTTTATTTATTACAATAAATACACCAGGAAAACTCCAGTTTTCTGCACTCCCTTAAAGTCTAAGGAGAGAAGTTTTCTAAAAAGTTCTCACTATCCGCATTAGCTCACTAATCTGGGGGGGAAGAGAAGAGGACGAGGGTTATTACTGGTTGTGGCAAGATCCCAGCCACCTCACCTCCCTTCTCCAAACCCTCCATCATCTGCTTTTGTGTTTAAAGATCCCCTCAAAAGAGAGACGGAATTTCTTCATGTTTCTCAAGCAGGGACGGTGGACGGCGCTCCTAACACCGGGTTGTTGGTGAGATTCTGTTTCTGGGAACCGGGGTAAAATAAATCATAGTGGTCTGGAGGGGAGCTTGACGGAATTCGTTGTTGTTGGGAAAACACTGCGATGGGTCGGGGCCTGGTGTAAGCAGAGCCATTCCCATGGGCCCGTTCTGAGCACCTCCAGGCCGCTGGGCCCGGCGCTTGCGGGAAGCGGGCCCCAGGAGGAGGGTTTGCAAAGGCAGGAGTCGGTTGCTGCACCATCTCTAGGGCTCTGTCCGTGGTGTTTATACCGAGGGGCCGCGAGGTCCTTGCGGAGGGTGTGCATTTCCGCGTGCTTGTTTTGGCTCTGGCCAGCCAGAGTTCAGGTGGAAAACTCTCTGAGCCAGGCCCGAGAGAGGAAACCAGCGCTGCCACTCGGCTCCGCCTGTCACACCACCTCCAGGCAGCCCGAATGCCTTCGGCCCACTTGCATGTGGTGGCTGTGGGCGTCCGTCTCAGGGGGCCCCTCTCAGAAGCCACGCAGCTGCTCCGTGTAAGGGCCTGTTTAGCCACAGCGATTCCATCTTGGGTTAAACAGTCATTTTGTTGTTTATACAGTAAAACTTAAACTGACCCTGCACACCCCCTCCCCAGGGAACTTACTTAAAAGTAAGCCCGGGAAAACAGTCCCAGGGAATAAAGCCCAAATACAAGGGTGGGTCAGGCCAGGTGGAGACATGCAATCAGTGGGGACACATACTGTCTCCCTAGCTACCAAGGAATGTGGGTCCCGCCTTTTGGGCGCCAATTCTGACCAAGGTGATAGGCTAGCTCAAAAGTCTACTATAGGGTAAATTATAATTCAATTGGTCACTTATGCGTGACCTAGCATGACTGTGCAGCTTTCTTTGTGTGTTACAATCTCATTGGTCACCTGTGCGTGGCCAGGCCCAACCACATGGCCTTTGCCCTTAAAAGCTAGTCTGTAAGGCAGAGGGTCATCACCTCTTTGCAAGAGATGGCCCTGGCCAGTCAGTTTGATTCTCAATGCTTGGTGCGAAATAAAGCTCTGCTTGACCTTCGCTTTGTCTCAGTCTCACTCCTTTAATCACGGATCCATTAGTGGGGGACCTTTCACTCCGCAATCAGCGTTTCTGGCGGAGAAATTTCTCGGAGGGACGTGAGGCCCTGCGGAAGCAGTCATCAGACGGTTACTACCGAGCATGGTGATTCTCACGTGCCCTTGGCCCGCTTGCCCTTACGTGCCGTGTTCTTGCCCTTACATGTCCTTATTTCCGCTCTCACAGCAGCCCGGTGAGGCAGGCCCTGTGACTGTCCCGTTTCACAGTCCCCTGAGACCAGGGAGGCAAGCTGTGGGGTCGAAGAGCCCGGGCTGCAAACCCAAGGCCGCTGGCTCGGCCTCTGGGCTCTACTGTCTTGGAAGTCTGGGGGACCGAGGAGTTACCCCTTCTCTATCTTCTCCTCTCCTTGTGGCCCCCGGAAATGCCTCTAGATTTTCTCTTCATTTGACATTATTCTCCTGTGGAGGCTTGACCATTTTGTGAGGTGACTTTCTTGGCATCCTGGTCAGACCCCACAGCCCTTGGCGTCACGCGCCAGTCGCTGTGTCAGGGATGGTGGCCGTCTATGTCTAGTGACGTAGGTACCTTGCAGGAGCGAGCCGTGCTTTCCAGACAGAGGCTCTGAGGCTTGATGAGCCTCACGCTGGGTTTGAGCGCTCGCTGTTCACACCTTCGAAGGAGCTCAGGAGCATGATCCGTTTCTCCCTCAGCCTCTCCCGCTCCTGGGCCCTGAGCCCAAGAAGGAGGCAACCCCAGACAGGGTTTCGGAGGCCCCGTCAAGGGGCCAACATGCCACTTCCCGAGTCCCTTCTTTTTCCCCATCTGTTGAAGGCCCTTTGTAGGATTTATACCAAGTTTCCGTTATGCTCCTGCTTTTAATTCAAGGAGCAGGGCTCTGTCCCGCGTCTCCTACCTTCTTATTCAAAACAAACTCGAGTCACCGTGAACTTTCTCTTATGTCTGGAGCCTTCTGCCCCTTGGTTGCCTGCCCAGCTCAGTTCCTCCCAGCAGCAGAGATGGAAGAAGGTGGTTGTAAGCCCAACTCGTGGCCTTTCCCCCCAGCACACAGAGACTGCCTTCGGGGACCCAGCCACGGCTAGATGACAACATTTACAGTCAGGGACTTCCTTCCTGGGTAATTCCGGATTAGAAGCTTTGTGGTATTCTTTTCTAAAAGACAAAATTAACTTGTAAAAAATACATGAAAGTTGCAAAAGTGTGACACATGTACAGGTTTGCTGTGGAGAACATTTTGACAACGCTGGATTGAGAGCAAGACTCTCCTCTTCTGAGCCCTCCCACTTGTACTCGTTGTCTCCACAAGTGTCCTTGTCACTACTTGGTAACAGTTTGGTTTTTAGGTTCCTTTGCATACAGACGTGTGGCGTAAGACTTCCCCTCGAGGGACGCCTGGGTGGCTCAGTTGGTTAAGAAACTGCCTTCAGCTCAGGTCATGATCCTGGAGTCTCGGGATCGAGTCCCACATCGGGCTCCCAGCTCCATGGGGAGTCTGCTTCTCGCCTCTCATGCTCTCTCTCGCTGTCTCTCTCTCAAATAAATAAATAAAAATCTTAAAAAAAAAAAAAAAAGACTTCACCTTGAGTAGATACTCACACAGGCCCAGAGGACCGGGAGAAGAGCCCCAGAGTCGGGGACATGTCTGGTTCCCTCCCCCTCACCGGCGTGGCCGGAACTCAGCAGAGTGCCCGGAATGTGCCCCTCAATACGTGGAAATGAAAGAATGCACACACTGACACAGTAACAGCGTATTATTATTTTTTTTATTTTTAGAAAATAAAATTAAATCTCTGCTTTAATTAGCATTTCTTTCTGGCTATCGCCATTTTCTCCCTGACTCAGATTTGAACTTCTAGATCAGGGGAATGAAAGAAACATGGGGTCTCTATTATCAGTGCCACTGGTGGGAACATACCTGGACAAAAGAAGAAGAAGAAGAAGAAAGGAAGAAGAAGGAGGAGGGGGACGGGGAGGAGGAGAAGAAGAAGGACATTGGTGTCTATAAAACCTACTTTGATTGCATCTCAGAATGATTTTGAACTTCACAGTTTTTTCATTAAAATAACATTATTTTATAGGGAACTAAAATCTGAGACACATGAGAGTTTTAATTTACATTCTACTTCCCCCACCTGTTTAATCCACTCTAGAACAGTTTTTCAGGTTTCTCTCTTCATTACACACATCTTTTAGAGACGCTAGTAATTTTCCATGAACCATACACCTACAAATGTGTGGGTACCAAGCAGTTCATTTTTGCCAGAGTTCTTAAATAATTTCACTAGTTGGGTCTAGGTTTTTCTGCTAGGACCAGAAGGAAAAGTGAGACAACCCGAAAAGAGAACTCTCTATTTCAATAGAAACACTAACTCATAAAAGTCCCAGGGGTTGAGGTTCTCATCTAGACCCCCTGGACCAGATGCCCTAAGGGGGGCCTTCCTTTGGGAGGGGAGGAAAGCTTTTATGGGCAGAACCAGCCCTCCAGTCAACCTCTCTCTCACTACTGTTGCACATAGACTGGGGACCCTGCCGCGTGAGCTCAAGGGGACAATGCAGCCCTTTGTAATGACAGGCCCAGTTATGAGGCAGGGAGGCTACCAGCAGGGCCCTAGCTGCTAACCCCTCCCTTCCTTGCCTTTTCAGCAAGCTCTCAGATCGATTCGCAACGTTCCCTCCCCAGTTACATAATCTTAAGGGAAACCAAACTTTCTTCACACTCATAATTCTAAAGCACGTCTAATTTCTTGAGCCACTGCAGATCAAATAGCTTGTAAGCTACCAACACTTGCCAACAGGCGTTTAGGTAGAATTCAGGAGTTTGTAGCATGAATCGGGAAGATCACAAACAGAGGATTAAGCAGAAATGGGAATTATGTCGAATAAAGCCAGCTGAGAGTGAGATACCTTCAGAAAAATGAATAAAAATACAATTTTTTTTAAAGACCCATTTGCAGTCCAAGTAAAGCACTTTGCTACATGGTTCTCAAGACGTCTGGGGCAGAATTCCATCCTCCCCACAATTAGCAGGAGGACGTGGGGTCTGGAGGTGTGTCTTGAATGGCGGCGGGTAACAGGACAGGTATTTCCACCTTGGGCAGGTGTCCTCTTAGCAGCCGCTCAGAAGCCAAGGTCTGGATGCAGCCGGTCGGTAGCAAACAACAGCTCAGGAATGTTAAGTGGCTTCAGGAGTCGCGTGGACAGCACGATGACCTACCAGCAGGAGGGGACAAACACACCGCAGACAATTAGGGAAGCCAGTCCCAGGTTATCGGAGGATGAGAAATAAAACGCAATGTGTTTCTCCGGGGGAAGGCATGGAGTGGGGCACTGTGGAGAAAAGGCAGAGGGTGGCAGCTTGGACGCCGCTGGATCCTAGGGTCCTGGGTAGAAGGAGGGGTGCACAGGCGGGGAAGGATGGTCTGTGGGACAGTGGGGCTCTGCTTCCTGAACCGTCAGCCAGCTGGCACTGGGAGTGGCCGCTGAGCTGAATCCGATCATACCGAAGCCTTGTTCCGGTAATTTGACCTCGCTAGAGAGAAGGTTTCTCTTTTCTCCAGGGAGCCTTTGCTCCTTCGGGGAGCCATGAGAAGGCACACCAAAGGGGTGGATGGCGTTGTGGGTGACGGTGATGATGACTGTGTCAGTTTCCTAGGACCCAGAGCTAGGTGGCTTAAATAAGAGAAATTTATTATCTTATAGTTCTGAATGCCACCAGCCCAAGATCAAGATGTTGGCCTGGTTGTGAGGGAAAATCAGTTTCATGCTTTCAGTTTCCTTGTGTCTCTGCATGTCTGTCTCTCTGTCCAAATGTCCCCTTTTTATAAGGACACAGTCATATCAGATTAGAGCTCACCTTAACAACCTCATCTGAATTTGATCGTCTACAAAGACCTATTTCCAATAAAGTCAGATTCACAGGCACTAGGAATTCAGACTTGAGCGTCTTTTGGGAGGGGGGCACAAGTCAGCCTCTAACAATGATGGGATCAGGATGGTATAGGCTAACATTGATCGGTTCCTGTGATGTGCCACGCACTGAAGATGATCTCACTTAAAATCCACGTAATCGTTATCACAACCGTATGAAATGGGCACATTTATTATCCCTGTTTTGCAGACAAGGAAAACCAAGTACAGAAAGGTTAAATAATGTGTCCAGGGACACACAGGAGATAGTTGGGCTAGGATTCCAACCCAGGTAGGCTGACTCTAGCATCCAAGTGCCTATCCGGTCACTTTGGTCATGTCAAGGCGTCTGGGCAAGGCTGCTTTACTCCTCTAGTCCATGGAGACCTTTGGGCTTCTCTGGCCTGTCATTGTGGTGACCTACCTGCTTCCTTTGATCTGGATCCTTCCTCTGGGGTAGATTTTTCTTTGTAGCAGTGGAACAACTTATTCCTTGGATCTGTGATGTGCTGGGTAAGGGCTAAGGGCTGGTGAGGTTTTGCACAGGCGGCTGGGTGAGGACCTGACTCTGGGAATGGAGAAGGAGGTCCTAGAGCCGGAACTCCACAGCCTAGCACCCGAGCAGAAGGGATGGCAAGGCGGGCAGCCAAACTGGCTTCACCTAGCCCTATTGCCCGGGATTTGCTTGCTGACACTACACATTTCCCTGTCTCCTCCTTCTGTCCCCACCCCCTGCCACATTGTTTCAGGTGCACCCAAGCCAATGACGTAACCAACTCCCAGCTCACGGGTCAGAAACAAGAGTCCACACTCCAATGCGGAGGAAAGACAGATGGGGCCGGAGTTGAGGGAGGAAAGAAGAAAGCATTTTAGAATTTTCTTCTTCTTGTTAAAGAAGTGAGGGCTATTAAAAAGTTTCCTGTTTCAAACAAAAATCAGCCCTTGCAAGCAGCTTTTTTATTGTTTCTTGAAAGAGAACGATCTAAAACAATATATGCCTAAAGTCAGCCAAGTTATATTTTTGGCAGGAAAAGAAATACTGCAATCTGCCCTCGCAGTTGTCCTTGAACACCAGGGGATGAGAGCTGGAGGGCAGCAAGTCAATATTAGCACCCCCTAATGCTAGAGGCATAGAGACCATTTGAACACGTGGCTCTGGAGAGGGTCTCCCTCGCCAAGCCTAACAGTCGGCTAAGAATGGGGGCGCCCAGGCCAGCACACTCGTCGGAGCCCTGCAGAGCCCAGCTCCACTGCAGACTGGCTGCGTGCCCCCGGGAAAGCCACTTCCCTTGGAGCCATTCTCTGCATGTCCTAGAAGGAGAACAACAGCCCGAGCTGGCAGCCTTGTGGTGAGGAGTACATAAAGTTGAGTGTGTCCAGCACAGGAGGCACTCAGCCGTTGTGAGCTGCTATTTTATCGTGGTCTTTTGATCGGGTCACAGGTCTCCTTTTGAATGGGATAAAAGCTAAGAACTTTCTAGAAAAATACATGTCTGTTCACACACACGAGATTCTGAAGATAGTTGTAGATGAGGTTTGTGTTCAACTAGGAATCATAGGCCACAAGGTAAGAAACCCTCATTCAGATGTTTTTAAAAAATGTGTGCAGAGAAACAGAAGTCCGTCACACACTCTCCAGAAGTTGACTCTTGGGAGGCAGGAGAGGCCCCTCTCGGCCCTCCTGTGACTTGCCGGCCCCTGGCCACCACTGCTGGCCCTTGTGCTCCTTCCTGAGTCAAAATGGCAGATTCCCCTCTGGCTGAGGCAAGGGCAAGCATAAGGGCGAGTGGGAGCCTCCCAGGATGTGTAAGTCTTGTTGGAAGGACTGAGGAACTTGGAGAGAAAAGACTGTCGACTCAGTTGATGATGACACTTCTAGAGCAGCGAAAACCCAGCAGAAGGAATCCATCCCTCAGACGGTGTGCTCGGCTGCCAGCCATGGCTGACGGACACAGTGGCTTCCATGACCTCCCCTGAGCTCGATCCAAAGACTGGGCCCCTCAGATATGAACAGGCAGGTATCAAGTATGAGGGCTGAACCAGGGGGTGACCAGGACATGCGTGGGGAGGGCTGAAAAGAAACCGATGGGAAACCAGGGCAGTGTGTGGAGGGAGCTAGGGGCTCTGAGGAGGCCAGAAATCTGAGACCAAGGACTATTGCCCATTGGTGCAGCAGGTAAGAGCACAGACTTAGAAGTCAGACCCTAGCTGGGCCTCACTGTCCTCATCTGTAAAGTGGGAATAATGCTCTCCACCTGCCATGATTTATACGAAGGTCGCATGTGAACATGTATATAAAATATTTAGTGCAGCTGACAGGCTCTCAAGGGGCTGGAAGGGGTACCTATATGATGGTCTTCATTATTGTCCCCACCTTGACTCTTTCCGTCCCTCTTGCACTCCCTCTGTCTGGCTCACCGCAGGCACTGGGGCCAGTGCAGGGGAGGTAGAGTGACCTGAGCATCTTTCCCAAGTGTAAATCTGACTGTATTAGACTGTATTACTTATCAGCTTAAAATCCTGACTGCCTCCTCACCCCCCTTTGGTAAACCCAACCCTCCAGAGAGAACATTCTAGAACTTCAGAATCTGATGGCTGTTCGGCACTCCATACCCCACCCCCTGACCACCCCACCCCCTTCACCAGCAGTTGGCACCCTCTGGCCTCCCTCAACTATCTGCAGTTTCACGGGTGGAACTTTGCGGATGCTTCTTTACCCGGAACATGAGTCCCCCTACTCTTTGCCTGAAGACCTCCCAGTCCTTTAACCATCTGCTCAGGTATCACTACCTCCAGGAAGCCTTCCAAGACCACCCCTCCCAAAGACAGAGTGTGTTCCCATGGCTGTTGGTATCACACTCTACTCCTTGCTGCCTTCCCTGAGTCTTTCCACTATTTCTTAGAGCCCAGTGCCTGAAATACAGAGGGTCCTTGGTATCATGAGTCCACGAATGATGAAATGAGTGAACAAAGACGGTCAGACAAGGAAGGAGGCAGTGAGCTTAGCAATGGTCAGCAGGGAGTTTCTCACACTGGGGGGCTCTAATGAAAGATAGCTCAAATAGCTCTGGGAAAACTATTTCAAATCAGTTCAATGATTTGTCTAAATTTCCTCCTGGGAAGCACAAGGAGGGCGAATGCTTCATTTACGCTGTTAGAGATGAGGGTCCTTGAGAATTTTCCCATCTTACGCATCTTTTCGTCTTCAGACGCATCTGAGCATTCGCAGAGGTTTTCAGCCCACCCAACCAAGACCTTTCTTCATTGTTTGACGAATATTGTTCTACATACTCTAAAAAATTAGCCAAACGGGGGACAAAAACGTGGTCAAAAATGAGAAAGGAAATGTTTAAAAGAATCTGGGATTGGCCTGTTAGATGTAAGATGAAGATTTTACAGTCATCAAATGTGCGGGGGCAGGCACATTTAGCGTGAGCAAATTCCTTCTAGAGAACTGGGTCTTGTCCAGGCAGCCGAGGGCACTGATGAAGACTTCCGTCTGTGAGGCACAGCTCCCCAGGGCTCCCCACGGCTCCCCACGGCTCCCCAGAGCCTCTCGTGTCAGCAGGCCCAGGGCTCGTGCAGGAGCGGGGCAGGCTCCGACAGCGGCCAGCCCCTCGCGTTCTCCCCATGCCCGGCCGCCGCGGGCTGTCCCTGTAATCTGCAGGTGCCAGCATCTTGCTGTTCTATTTCTGCCGAACTCGGAGGAAGCAGGGCAGTCCAGGATCTAGATTCCGGATCCATCTGATTTCTAACACTGTGAACTGAAAGGAGCAGGGGATAAAAATGGGTTTTCTCCTTTTTTCTTGTAAACTTGCGAGATTCTTCCCAGTAAAAGTAGCTATTTACAGGCACCGGCAGGCACGCTCCTCCCCTCGGTGACCTGCTTTGTGAGCATGGAGCGTATTCGGGGCACTGCTTACCCCCGCTTGCACATGCGTACACACACTCTCACACGTGTGTTAAATGTAGAAGGTTTGGGTCGTTAGGCTGTGGGATAGTGGATTCATGACAGGGACGTGACACGTGACCAAGCTTTCTGGAAAACTCATCGCGAACTGCCTGACTTGCTTTCTTTCACACTGCCGCTGCGGTCCGGGGACTGTGCTGCCAGGGTTCCCGAAGGACCGTCAGTGGGACATTTCAGATCGCTGCCTCGCCTTTGTCCCTTTGGGGGGTTGTTTAGTAAGAAGTCACTCGAGGGGAAAGAAGAAGCAAACCTCACAGTGTCCTCACGTAAGAGAGAAGGACAGTGTGAAACGAGAATTCTAGGAACACGTGTACCGCCGTCCGGTACCTGGATC